GCACAATTAAACACCACTACTTTTTCTTTTATTTTGTCTCCTTCACTTGTCAATTAAAAAAAAATATTTCATTTATAACATAAGTTGCTTTCTATATCAATAATTTACATATATTGTAATTTGTCGTTTTAGATGACATTAATACATTAAAGAACATACAACAGAATCATCATGAAAAATAGAAATTCACTTGAAAACTGTAGTATTATTACTTCTATGTACTCAAATGAGAATTCTTAAAATACTATGGGCCTATTTTAATAAAAACAACAAACAATATGAAGAACTTCCAATATTAAGAAAAAAAAGTTCGGTTTTTAAAGCTTGATTTAATATTAGTAAATTTATTAAGGTTTTCTTTAATTAAGAAGCAACTTGAATACTAGTGTGATCTAGAATTTTTCTTTGAAAAAAAAAAAATTAGGTTCCCATTATGTGTTATAATTTAAGATAAACTAATTAACCAGGCAAAATGGTGAAGAATTGCGATTGGTCTAAACCTTGAGACTTGAAAAGAGGTGCTTTCCGTAATGGCACTTTGATATGAGTATGCAAATACTACTCTCCATTAATCATCACCATTATGAATACATGGAATTCAAATATTAATGAAGATGTGAAGGAAACAAATAAGCAAATCCATTCATAATAAACAAACAACAATCTGCCAAGAGCTATGTATAGATCTAGCTGGATCAGAATCTCCAAAAACAACTGAATGCAATGCATAGATCAAAGAATCTAGTTATCTATCAAGTGTCATTGTAAGGATAGTGTCGAATTTCTAGAGAGTTCACATAAGGGTAAAATATCTTTGGCAGCAAAATATCCTTGGGAATCCAATGCCAAGAAGCACACGACAAATTAGATGTAGCTTTTCATTATTATTAGATACACAATTTCTTGTCAACGAACATGCATTTTTGGATTTTACCCGATTAATGTAGACATGTATTTTTTATTTTGAAAAAAATGGGTATGAAGAGGGGTTGACTGATAGAACTCTAGTAGTACCACAGACCATTTCTCATGTTTATAAGTTGAGAAAGAGAAGGGCTATATAGTATTTTCATCTGTTTGGGTAATTTGTTAGCTACTGGGAAGTTGTTAGCCACGTGGCATAGGTAGTGGGATTTGTGTGATTGTTTGGTGTAAGTTTGGAAACATGACTTAGAAAAAGCAGAGAATGTTTTAGAAGGATTTGGTTAGGAGGTCCCTAGCTCCTCGAAGTGCTAGGCTATCTTTTCTTTCATTGTTGTTTACTCTTCATCAAGTTATCAGTATTTCCATTATAGTTTATCAATACAGAGTTCATCTTTAATTGTTCAATTCTCTTGGTTGTTGTNTCTTGTGGGTCTCAGCTTGGGAATCAAGTGAGTGAGTTCCGGCTTGTTTTCCATTGAAGATCAGATAGAATTTTGCAGACTTTAGTAACCAAGTGCGGGGATTTATCTTTGGTTGAATAAAAATTAGATTTTGATGCAAAGAAGAGAAGCAAACAGAATATTTTCAGGTGAAACGAAGCTGGGTTTTTGAGAAGGGGCTTTAACATTGCTTATAGTGATGTTGTCCCAAGAGATATAGAGGTTTAAGAAGGGAAGTGAGTTGACTTGGTGAGTTGGTAAGCACTGTCATTGCTGAACCATAGCTATGCAGAAGTAGAGGTAGGAGAAGTGGTGAAAGGGTAATAGGAAAATTATGCTTAAAAATTTCTTAACATTTTTAGTTTGAAGCTCAAAATAATTTTTTTAAATAAAATTTTATTTATTATCATTACCATTTTAACGTATATAATATTATTATTGCACAAGTTAAGAGAAAAATAAATAATATTAAAACTTTTTTCTTTTTAATTTTTGGTTTTAAATATTGAGTTGAAATTTGGTGATTTAAAGTTATATTATTTATTAAAATAAGATATGAAATCTGAAGTCAAAAGGGGTGTGTTTGTTAGATTTCAAACCTGTAGAGACTAATCTGTAATTTTTTAAGGGTGTGTTTGTTAAATTTCAAACTTGTTGAATATGCTGACGTCATCAATTGGACCGGTCAACCCAGGACTCGGCTCCTTGACCGAGTCAAGGCCCCGGGTTGGGTTTAAAAATGTATTTTGGGGTGCGTTTGGTTTATTATTTTGGGTAGGATTTTGGGATAGTATTGGATAGTTGAATAGAGGAGTATTACGAGATAAAATATAAAAATTTATGAAAAAGCCCCCAAGGTTTACTAATTTAATAAACACCCCAATATATTAAAATATTGTAAAATGAGACAAACACCCCTAACACCCAAAGTGCCAGATTCCGGCCACCACTGCTAGAATTTGGCCGGAAAAATTGGATAACCATAAAATCCGGTCGGATCTGGCGGGTATTCAATTGATATGGCCTTTTTCGGCCATATCCACCATGGATCTGGCTACAAAATGCCAGATCTTAGGCCGGATGTGGCCTTCGACGGCCGAAAAAGGCCAACTTTGGCCGTCAGCGACAGCCAAAGATATGGCCGTTGTTGTTTGTCAATGATGGCCAAGATTTGGCCGTCGTTGACAGTCAACGCTGGCCATTTCTTTGGCTGTCACTGACAGCCAGATCTGGCCATTTCCGTCCATTTTCGGTGGTCGTGTGACTATTGTGACAGATTCCGGCTACCACCAGCAGTGGTTGCCAGAATCTGACAAGTATTGTTAGTGGGGGTGTTTCTGTTAGATTTTAAACTTTTTTTGGGGGGTATTTAATGAAATTAATAAATTTATGGGTCTAAAAGTAATTAAAAAAATAGACTAATATTTTGGGAATAACGTGCCAAACAACATTTTAAGAATAGGATTGAGAATATGGATAAAAACAATAAGCCAAACGCACCCTTGGTTTCTCAGTGAATACTGAATATACATATAATACTAATTCTAAATCTAATTAACTAANATTGGAATATGGAAATTGGAATTTGGAATTTGGAATTTGGAAAATTGGAAATATGAATTTAAAATTGCAAAAACTAATAAAAATTAAAATACGAGCAAATTGATAACAAAGAGGTTAAGAGAATAAATGAATAATTGAGAGATTAGAGATTAGAGAATATGAGAGAATGAGAGAATTTGAGTTGTGAGAAAAATGTGAGAGTTTAGGGCCAATTTATAGGAAAAAATGGGAAAGAAAAATGACGAAAAAGACCCCTCCAACGGCTATAAAACAGCTATATTTCAAGGGTAAAGGGGTAATTTGAGAAATAAAATAAAATTTTTTATTTTATTTTTTATTTTTTTCGGCCAACCTGCCGGGTTGGCTGTTGCAACCCAACTGGTTGGCCGTTATTCCATAACAGTCAACCCGGCGAGTTGGCGAGTCTATTGCAAAAGAGACAAAATAGCAACTAGCCGGGTTGCGGGTTGCCATTGTGCAACTCGACCCGCCCGGGGGTTGCTGCCGAGTTAGGGTCAACTCGTGGCGGTCCAGGTTCAACCCGCTTCTTTACGGGCCGGGTTAGGGTTGACCCGCCTAACCCGGCCCAAATGTTCCACCTCTAGTTATGCAGAAGTTGAGGTAGGAGAAGTGGTGAAAGGGTAATGGGAAAATTATGTTTAAAATTTTCTTAACATTTATCATAATACATTTATTCCGAAAGTTAAAAATAATAAATCTAAATGTTATAATTTTTTTTATTTTTTAGTTTGAAGCTCGAAATAATTTTTTTTTTAATTTTTATTTATTATCATTACCATTTTAACATATATAATATTATTATTGCACAAGTTAAGTGAAAAATAAATAATATTAGAACCTTTTTCTTTTTAATTTTTGGTTTTAAATATTGAGTTGAAATTTGGTGATTTAAAGTTATTTTATTTATTAAAATAAGATTGAAATTTGAAGTCAAAAGGGGTGTGTTTGTTAGATTTCAAACTTGTAGAGACTAATCGTAATTTTCTAGGGGTGTGTTTGTTAAATTTCAAACCTGTTGAATTGCTGACATCATCAATTGGACTGGTCAACCCAGGACCCGGCTCCTTGACCGAGTCAAAACCCCAGTTGGGTTTAAAAATATATTGGTTTCTTAGCAATGTTTTAAAACCAAACCCGGAGTGAAACCCAGCAAAGCTTCCGGGTCCCGGTTTCACCGCTGGTCAAACTGATTGACAAAAACTTTAAAATTTAGCAAATATACCCCTAAAAATTTATTAAGTCCCTATAGGTTTGAAATTTATCAAACACACCCCAACTGCAAATCGATCGGCAACTGATTAGCGGCGGTGACACCCCAGATGCAACCCCAATTGTCCCTTGAGCCCATTTCCATCAAAATATACCCAAGATCTAGCCGAAATAGGTTTGATTTCGGCTAGATCTCACCGACGTCGACGTCGGCATTCTAGGCCAAATCCCATCGATTCCGGCAACAAAAACCCTCCCCATCACCCCAGAATTACTCCTCTTTTCCTCTCGACCAAAACCCACCTCGCCCCACCTCCGTTAGCCTCGTTAATCGCCGGAAAAGTCTGGTCGTTGCCGCTACTAGTTTTGTTCGATTTCCGGTCGATTTACTCACCGGAAATCAAATCTTTCACCACCATTACATTCACCGGAAATTTCTCTTCAAAAGCCCTAACATTCCGATAGTTAATTGTTCGTCGATCATCACCGGAAATCCTAGGGTATTGGGTGAATAGGAAAAAATTAAACCCGGCCCGTTGAAGCTTCCAGGTCCCAGTTGAACCGACCAGGCCGGGCCAAGTTTTAAAACATTGTTTCGTAGTGAATACTGAATATACATATAATACTAATTTTAAATCTAATTTACTAAACACACAACTATAGCTTTTGAAACTCACAACAACTAAAAAAAAAAAAAAAGATCTACCAAACACACTTCAAATCATAAAGTTGATTATTTCTAAGATGGCTAGAAAATATTAGGTTTGAGATACAATAATCCCAAACATACTCCAAATTATTATCGAGAGTAATTGGATTCAACATATACGTACCTGTAACTATAATGAAGAAGATCACAGTTTTGATAAAAGTCTAATTAATGCTATGTTTTACACAAACCAGTAAGTCAAAATTGCAGCCTCTGTATATATCTTTTCCATCTTTGGTGCTTATCAATTATCAAGATCTTGTGAAACATAATATCAACGTATAGATATGAAATACAATATAAAGTTACACTTTCCGGCCAACATGGTACCAACAGTATTCAGGACTTGATTCTAGGTTACAACAGACTGTTCCACATTTTGGTCAAAACTGAGTTCCCAAGGTTTGAATGCAATACTACTTAAAGAAAACATCTTCAGAGATAAATGCCGTCCATGCATCCTACAAACACAAAATCAATCATTGAGACTATTTCCACATTCTATCTTTCGGAAAATTAATTTAGGCAACCTTTTCAAGTATTGTTTGATTTCTTGAAGAGAGAATTGCGTGAGAGGCAAGTTTACCTGAAGGATGGCAAAGACCTTCTCTGCAACATATTTTTGCTGGGGTGTTGCTCCTCTTTGCTGTAGTTTGTCTGGGTGGAGACAAAGCCTGGCTTTTTGATATGCCTTCTTCACATGTGAGCTATCGATGAGGTTTGTTAAAGGAACAGCATACCAACCACTATTGGACCACAATATCTGAATATATATAGTTCATTAACATATGAAAACTACAGTATTAATTCTAGGATAATAGTAGAACAGCAATTAATATAAAATATTAAAGGTCTTACATGATGTAGGGCTGAAAGCAGCAAACGGATATTGGTTTCCTTACCAGATGCCCACAATCTTATTTCTTCTTCCAAAAGCTCCATTTCAGTCTATAGTTTTTGCCAAAAACGAAATTATATAATACACAATTTAGTTACTTTTATCTTGATACAGAAAAATGTAGATGAATTCACAGTTGCCAATAATTGAAGTTGTTCACAATCTAAAAGAAGGGGAAAAAATATAGTCTCATGTGATCCCACATACCAGAACATGATAATATTGGCATTTAAATGCGGACAAGCAAAAACACAAACAGAGGTTTCAGACAGAATACAAAGTCACTCATATCTTCGTTTATTGGCATTTGCCTAGAGTAAACGTGTATTATCCTATTATACAATATTTGTATGACAATTATATATATTGTAAAACCTAATTGTGGTATGTTTCATGCACCCTTGATGCTCAAATATTGAATTAGCATTTAGGAGCTTACATGTTCTTCTGGCTGTTCTTTTCCTTCTTCAGTTGTCCAGTTCCTTTGTTCGCCCTGTCATCAGAAGGAGGGAAGTCTATTAATGGATTGGCTTGAATTGAAATTAACATGGTTATTTATGCTTAATGTGTGGTGGTAGTTTACCATGAGAGAATGCATATGCTCGGTTCCATGTCCTTGAATTTCTCGATCTAAAACTTCATTAACCTTAGACCCTTCTGCATAAATAACAAGAAATTAAGAACAAGAATCATATAATTAATCAGGATATGTCAAGGGAAATTTGGAAAAAAAGTAATAAGTACTTTCAAATTCACTGTTAGACGTCTATGAGTTTATATCGGTTGACTCATTTATCTGTTGACCATCGATAACTTCAGTTTTTCAGTTAAAGAAAAGGGTATTTTGGTCCTACAATGCTAAAATTTTGAAGTAAATTTTTGGAATAAAGCTAGTTCTTGATATACTTTTCAGGTAGATTATTTAATAAAATTTGCCTTAATTAGAATATGTTATTGAAAATTTAAAATGCAAGTATCGGCATACCATTAGCCACTTGATTGTGTTTTTGTTGTGATGATGAGGAAGTGTGAGTGTGAAAGCTCTCCTTGGCCCAAGCAATGGCCTCATCGATGGAAACTGCTTCGCCAATTCCATCTCTATAGTCAGAATTGATCTCAATCACATAGGAACTCATAACATCGTCATCAACTACTTGTTCTTCTTGACAGAGTACTGAAGAGGCAGCAGGAGATGAAGGGGAGTTTGTGAGATGTAAATCATCCACACACACTTTGATACTTGGAAATGAATTGTGTTCAAGACTAATAATGGTTTCTGGGGATGAAACACGTCCTGACAATCCATAATAATAAGAGCTTCTGCAAAACTCATTATTGTTTTCATTTTCCATACCTTCACCTTCACCTTCCTCTTGTCTCGGCTCAGCCTTATCATCTTCATCATCTCCTGAATTCCATCTACATGGAACGTTGATTGGCCTGCACCACCCAAAAACCTATCTAATTTACATTTATATATAACTAGACGTTTTCATTGCAAATCTGTGCAATCTTTTTTATTACACTAAATTGTATTTGTTAATAGAAACACTACGTAAAAAACTTTTTTTTTTTTCTTTTTTTGCAAATTACCTTTTTTAATTGGTTTAGTAAATTAAACATTTTATCCATTTTTTTTCCAATCTCTTCACGACTTTCATGTCTTCACTCTACCAATCCTAGTTAGTAAATACGGGTACGGCAAAAAAACGGTACGAGAATTTTACGGATATGATACGGCAAATGGTGAAAAATACGTTTGTAAAAATTCGACTATAAAATTAGGATACGGAAAAAATACGATACGGGTTTAATAGGACACATTGTCAATAATACCTTTTAAAAAATACAGCAATATCAATCCTAGTTTTAGCACTTTTCATGTACCACTTGGATAAAATCTATATAACATTTCAAATATACGGGTACAGCCAAAAAAGGGTACGGGAATTTTACGAGTATGATACGGAAAATGGTGAAAAATACGTTTAAAAAAATTCGGCAAAAATCCAGCAAAAATTCGGATACGGGAATAATTCGCGAATAATACTGCTGAGGCATATAATTTGCGAATAATATGGCTGGGTTTATAAAATACGGTTGTTCGCGAATAATACGCAAATTATACGGATGGGCGTATAATTCTCGAATTTACTAACTAGGCTACCAATCCTAGCGCTTAAGTGGCTCTGCTCGAACAATAAATTTTTTATTTTTATTATTTTCCAAATTAGCACTAGAAATTAAATATTAAAATTTTCTTAAACTAAATAAATTAACTAATTATATTTTATAAAATATAATATTTTAAAAAAGAATAGTAAATGTATACAAGAATTATTTCACTTTATAAAATAAAGAAATGAAATAAAAAAAAATTAATAGTTTTTCCACTTTGGAGTTGAGTCAACCGGACCCTAACGCTGGAGTGAAGCAACTAAAGCACTAAAGAATAATACTATACATATAATATTCTCATATAACATTACGTAACAAAAGATGATTAGGTGTGAAAGTTTAATTTTAAATTAAAATCAGTCAATCATATTTTATCACATAATGTTGTATGAGAAATGTTGTATGTGTAGTATTACTCAAATGCTAAAATGACTTTTCTTAGCTATTAGAGTGCAGAGGGTAGAACTGAAAAAAAATAGATTAAGGATTTTATTTCTTAAATCAATTAAAAAGAAGTCAGATTTCAATTTAACTCCTAAAGAAATAGTTTTTTTAAGTAATTATTTATTTGTTAATGGAATATTTTTTACAAATTCTTCAATATTTTATAGACTCTTGTTGATTTCATTTAACTTTTAGATGTAAGAATATTGGAGTAGAAACGGATTATTAGTATATATATATATATATATATATATAAAATTTAAAATAAATAAATATGTCCTTTAGTAGGACAAAGATCCTGGGACATGGAAAACGGCACCGTATCCAACAACAAAAGCAAACGAAAGCAAAGCATGACGTCATAAACGTCAAATAAATAACATAACCCTTTAAATTCACAGTTAAAACCGTCCAGTACCTGAGCTTGGAAGCATAAGAAGACAACGCCACGTCATCCCCGTCCAGCGGCCGGAGAGGACTCAGCTCCTCCGAGCTCAAAACTGAGGAGGGATTTGACTTGGGCCGAGACCGCTCCCTTGATTTCCGTCCGGTGTATGAAAAAACGTCACCGTAGAAGCCGTCGCACCTGACTGGGATCCTGAAGGCCGGTAAGACCCGGCCCCTCATTTTGGGCGGAGAAAGCAACTCGGGAGACGGATTCCGAAATATCTCGGCGTAGAAGGAAGAGGAGTTGGTAAAGTCACTGGAGAATTTCCGGGAGAGAAGCGTCCTTGGTGGGCCGCCGAAAACGTCGGCGAAATCTTCGGGATCAAGAGTAGTGGAAGTGAAAGAGTGACGTGTGGCTACCTCGGCCATTGATTTTCTAGACGGTAATGATTGCATTGATGATCCCATTCGCATTCGCCAGGATTCATCCATAACTGTCCTCGCTTCTCTCAAATAAACTTTACTAAAACGAAATGTTCATCAAGTAAAACTGTATAAAAGAAGATTAAATTCAGAAGAAATGATGTTGTTGATTAAGAGAGTGGATTAATATGTGTATATATACGATGATGATGATTAACAAGTTGGCATGGTGTTTGCTTATCTGGAAAGAAGGTTTGGGTTGGAGAATGGAGACCCCACTGGGTGGAATTAATGTGTTTAATGTTTTGCTTTAATTTGGATGCCTACCTTTGTTTTTGTTTCTGGGAAAGTGCTGCAAATAAAGGTGCATGATTTATATGTGTGCACGCCTTAACAACAAAATACCTGTTTCAATAACCTTAAGGATAACTATAAACTTAAATTTACATAAAATTAAATTGGAAATTGTTATTACCACGACTTTTTCTCACAATTTCAATGTAACAATTCCTAATAGATTACATCTGATAAATTACGACTAATCAATTACAAATTATTGAATCACAATTATGAAAAAAAAGTTTGTGAGTTGTGAGTAAGATTGTAAGTGTAGTATTATGAATTAAATTATGCGAAATTAAAAAAAAAAATCATCATTAATTTGTTGGACATAAATGATGTATAGTCAAATTCGGCCTATATGCATGAGTAATCATGAAGAATAACAATGATTGAAGTTAAAGAAAGTTAGCAAAAGCAAGTCATGCGATTTAGAAAGCAACTTTATAACCTTATTTTTTTTATTTTTTTTTTCAATTTAGACTCCCTTTCCAACAAACAGGTTGATGCTAACAAGAATTAATTAGAATATGATTTTAGGAGAAAACATAAGGATGTGCAAAAATGTTTTGGATGTGATATTCCATAGTTTTAAGCAAATTGTATATCATAGAATAACATAAGGATTGTATTGTATTATATAATATCATACAAAATGTTATATGATGTTTACCAAAATATCGTATTTGTATTATTTTTGTACTATGTTATGTTGATTGACTTTGACCATTATTGACCGATCACTACATATTTAAATTTATAAATATTCAAATTATTTGGTAGTGTTTATATGTTTAAAATTAATACTAACATTGCATTAATTGATACCATGGTTTTTTAATAAGTATTATTTAATGTAGAATAAACTGTATTATTGTCTTTCTATTAATTATGACTTTCGAAAGACTAATGAATCTTCTTCAAACCCTTATTTTTCCTTGGCCAAAGACGAATACCGCTTTGTATTATTTAATATAGAGTAATGCTACAATTATCAAATGGTGTGCATCGAATTTGTGTATCGAATGATGTGGCAAAATCCTGATATTTGATTCATTATAAGTTAATATTAATCAACGGTCGAAATTTTATCACGTCATTCGGTGCACAAATTCGTCGTGTAACTTTCGATAACTCTATCATTTTTCTTTAATATAATGTAATCCTGTTACCAAATATTGTATTGTATTATTTAGTGCTAATGCAATTTACATAGTATTATGCTAATATAGCGTGCCAAACATGCGCTAATATAATTAAATTTGATTTTTTTTCATTAATGTTAGTTAATATTATTTTTTAATTTTTAAAGATAAATATTTCTAATGCCTCCGTAAATATCTAATAATATATTTATTTTAGAGAAGATTAATCATTAAATTATCAACTAAAGTCAGGTTTTAAGCACTGAATCACTGTTTGGGGATTTGTAGAGTGACATCATGGATGAGTCTAATAATTGGAAAGGTAATGGAATTAAAAGGAAGGAACAGTGGAATTAGCTGGCGAAAAAACCAAAGGAGGTAAGGCAGGTGAGAGTAAAGATGATTGATAGCTGAGAATGGGACAGTGCATGCTTTAACCTGATTTTCATAAATCATCACAAACTCACAAATCTATCAATAATAAGCATTAATGAATTTTACTAATTAGTGCATTAATCTAAAGTATGATATGGGTATTATACATATAATATAGGTATCATATATAATTTTAACAAAAGTTAATACACTAATTAGTAAAATTCGTTAATACGCATAGCATTACTCCAAATATATTATTATTATTATTATTATTATTTATCACAGCAATAACAGAAAACCTCATACTTCAATGCACAATTAAACACCACTACTTTCTTTTTTATTTTGTCTCCTTCACTTGTCAATTAAAAAAAAAAATATTTTCATTTATACCTATAAAAGTTGCTTTCTATATCAATAATTTTACATATATTGTAATTTGTCGTTTTAGATGACATTAATACATTAAAGTAACATACAACAGAATCATCATGAAAAATAAGAAATTTCACTTGAAAACTGTAGTATTATTACTTCTATGTACTCAAATGAGAAATTCTTAAAATACTATGGGCCTATTTTAATATAAAACAACAAACAATAATGAAGAACTTCCAATATTAAGAAAAAAAAAAGTTCGTTTTTTAAAGCTTAGATAATTAATATTAGTACAATGTTATTAAGGTTTCTTTAATTAAGAAGCAACTTGAATACTAGTGTGATCTAGAATTTTTCTTTGAAAAAAAAAAAATTAGGTTCCCATTATGTGTTATAATTTAAGATAAACTAATTAACCAGGCAAAATGGCGAAGAATTGCGATTGCTCTAAACCTTGAGACCTGAAAAGAGGTGCTTTCCATAATGGCACTTTGATATGAGTATGCAAATACTACTCTCCATTAATCATCACCATTATGAATACATGGAATTCAAATATTAATGAAGATGTGAAGGAAACAAATAAGCAAATCCATTCATAATAAACAAACAACAATCTGCCAAGAGCTATGTATAGATCTAGCTGGATCAGAATCTCCAAAAACAACTGAATGCAATGCATAGATCAAAGAATTTAGTTATCTATCAAGTGTCATTGTAAGGATAGTGTCGAATTTCTAGAGAGTTCATAAGGGTAAATTATCTTTGGCAGCAAAATATCCTTGGGAATCCAATGCCAAGAAGCACACGACAAATTAGATGTAGCTTTTCATTATTATTAGATACACAATTTATTGTCAACGAACATGCATTTTTGGATTTTACCCGATTAATGTAGACATGTATTTTTTTATTTTTTATTTTGAAAAAAATAGATATGAAGAGGGGTTGACTGATAGAGCTCTAGTAGTACCACAGACTATGAGTGTTCGGTTCTAGGTATCCTACACTTTTTTAAGGAACCGAAACCGGAATCGAAACCAACGGTTCCTTGAAATTTGGAACCAGAACCGGAACCAACGATTCCAGTTCCTAGGTATCCAGAACCAGAACCTGTAACAACGGTTCCGGTTCTGGTTCTGGGTATCCTGTAAAATTATAATGACCCCTCAAAAGTTTTTAAAATAGCAACCCTTAAAAACTTACAAATACCCCCCCACCTGACACTTGTTAACAAAAATAAAATTACAAACTCCATTACTTTGTAAAGGTAGATTCTCAAAAGTCAAACCAACTTACTTTAAATGTTATGAAATATAAATATAAATGTATTCACATTACTTTTTCTACAAAAGTTTTTATTAACCCCCCTAATATTTAATTTTATTTTATATTAGTCTCGGTTCTTGGTTTCTGGTTCCGGTTCAAAAAATTTGGAATCAGAACCAAACCCAAGGTATCCGTCGGTTCCGGTTCTAACCGGTTTTTTTGAACACCCCTACCACATACCATTTCTGACATTTATAAGTTGAGGAAGCGAAGGGCTATTTAGTATTTTCAACTGTTTGGGTAATTTGTTAGCTATTGGGAAGTTGTTAGCCACGTGGCATAGGTAGTAGGATCTGTGTGATTGTTGGGTATAAGTCTGGAAAAATGACTTGGAAAAAGCAGAGAATGTTTTAGAAGGATTCGGTTAGAAGGTCCCTAGCTCCTCGAAGTGCTAGGCTATCTTTTCTTTCATTGTTGTTTACTCTTCAGCAAGTTATCAGTATTTCTATTTCAGTTTATCAATACGGAGTTCATCTTTAATTGTTCAATTCTCTTGGTTGTTTGGAATTGCTTGATTGTTGTGTAAGAATTGTCCAGGTCTCTATCATTGACCCTATACCTAGTGTGGAACATTGCGTCCACCTCTGCCACACACGCATTTAAAGATACCCCCATCGCACCTATGTCGGGATCGAAGCACTAAAATTACTTTCACAGATAGGTTACGAGATGCAGATATACCACCTCATCAAAGACATGTGGCAGAGACTCAAAGCTAGAAATTTTGACGTGGTTGAATGAACTCCTTTTCACCTGAGCTCACTTTTGGGAGTATATACATATATTTTTATCATTATTATTGATTGGTCTTTACATAAAACGTAAAAAGATATTATTATTTTACAATTACAATAGATGTTAATTTTCTCCACCATGTAAGATTATGTCATATGATTTCACATCCAATATTTGGTTGGTGGCACATAAAGCTGACATACTCAACAGTTTTTTTTTTTTTTTTTTTTTTTTCAAATTAATTAAGATAATACTAGTTGGGTAATGAATGAACAACATTAGAATCTTCGGCAGGTGGATGGGTCGGCCATGGAGCAGACAAGTTCCATATTTATCATACTGCCTTTCAACTTAAGCTACTCTGTTTCATCTGTAAATTGCAAGTTATATTCTTTAATGTTCCCCATCTCTCTTTATATTAATTAATTTAATTTATAATTTTCTTTTGAGAAAAATGGGCATGGCTCCATTTCTTCAATGAGTTGACAACAAAGCAGACACATATATGTTATCATAAAAGAAGGATCTGAATCCCTTGAAAAGAAAGCAACTTCTCTCCATTCCCCATCTTTGCAGAAATTGTCTGCCAAGTGACATTCCTCAATTTCTGTTGATAAAAATACTAACACAGTGGTATATTGACACTTTCATCCTTCAGATTTGATGTATGTTCGATTTGTCCTGTATTACCGGATACAAAAACTTTAATCCTATCAGATGACAACAGTATAAATGTATATTTGAGATAGTGACCGAATATATGCTTCAAAAGTATTAACAAAGTAGACGAATAACACTAACATTTGTAATATAACAGGACTGAAGTGTTTATATCCCATAATATTGAAACAAAGTGTTATAATCCTCAAACCTTTGGGAGAAAGTTTAAATATGCCCTAACACAATCAATCCTTCAAAGAAATAAACGAACAAAAAAAAATTAAAGTTTCGGGCCCAAGCATATTCGTGTGGTCTGAAA